GTTGCGAGCCCATGGTGCTGGGTTAATGGTTGGACTCAATGAGCTTTGTGGTCTTTTCCAGCCTAATGATTCTGTGATTCCGTGGTTCTATAGATACTATGAAAGCCCAGGGAAATGGGAAATTTCAAGGTTTTGCTGAATAGTTTTGGAACAAGTGAAGAGATAATAGGAACACAGAAACCTTGAATTAGATACTGGAAAGCACATTTGGCAATGTACCTAAAGTTTCACTGAAGCTAATTCAGGTTTAGGTGAGCTTAACTCATTATAAATGTGAAAACCACACCTCTACTGCATTGTAGCTTTAAATCAAAGTGAGCAGAAGGTGTCCAATAGCTGTTACATAGGCATGGATTTAGAAATGAAATAGGTGTATTTTAAAAAAATAAACTTGCTGCTTGCTGGTGGAGATGGACAAAATGAAGCTACTGTGCTGGAAAACTGCTGCCTTTGGGAAGCGAGAGCTGCTGCCCTGAGGAAAAGCCTTTTTGTGACAGCACCTGGCACGTCTGCACATCCCTCTGTCTGTGTATCTGTCTGCAAGGGCCCAGCGAGGAGGTGCAGAAAAGCCTCTCCTTAAACAGCAGAAAGAGGAGCTGAGTCTGTGCTGGAGGGGCCTGGGCAGAGCTGTGGGGCCCCGGGCAGGGCAGTTGCTACTGGGGACACACCGAGCACGTCACAGGGGTGCCCAAGAGAGACTTTTCAGCTCCAGTCAGTGGGCACTGCCTGGGAAGAGGCTCAGCTCTACTTCCGTGTAGCTCAGCGGTTGGTTGTTGGTGGTTTCATTTACAGCACAGTCAGGCAGACAGTGCCAGTAAGGTGTGCTCTGGAGTCACAGAAACCAGGCACCACCTCATCAGGACACGCAGTCACTCCCTGACCTCCTGCTGCATATCTTCACCCTGCAGTGCTGTCACTGCCCAGGCAGTGTCAGGGAAGTCTGGGTTTCAGGAGCTGTTATCTCCATGCAGTCTCTGCAGTGATAGGGGAAGGAGTACACCTCCTCAGTGTCTCAGGATGACACTCACACAGCTTTGCCAGCTTAGAGTTACTCTGAACCAGCAGCCACGAGCTGCTGCCAGCTCTGCTAGTGCTTGCCTGTATTTAGGTGTGGAACTGAACCAGAAATACTGACTTAGAGGCCGTTGTGTGCAGCCCTGCAGCTCCATCCCTTTCATGCACTCCCATCGTGTGCTCCACACAGCCTGACCTGTCTCACCGCTCCCCTGTCCCAGCAAACTGCTCAGGCTGCACAGTCTCCCCATTACAAGATGCCAGGTGGCCAGTGTAGCTCACGAATGGCCAGTCCATCGTAGCAAGGAGGGGTAAAAACCTGAGGCCCAGCTGGTTCAGAGCCAAGCCCTGAAAGAGGGCTCGGGGCTGTGTCTGGCCCTCGGAGCTGGCACAGGCACTGCCTCTGCCAGGGCAGCTGGGGCAGGGCTGGCTGGGGGGTGTGCCCAGGCATGGGTGGGGGGATCCCAGCTGAGCCTGGGGACGTGCCTGTGTTTTCCTCCTTAGGCCTTCGACCAGACCGTGGCGAAGGACAATTCCCTGGCCGTGGGCTACTTCCAGAGAGGGCTGGTCCACCTGCAGCTGGAAATGTGAGTGAGGTGCACAGCCAGGGCAGTCTTTGGTTCTCTCCTTTCAGCCATGCTTTATTGCTAAACCTAAATGATCTGTGATTCTAAAATTCACTTATTCCAGCAGTTTAAAATTGTTCCCAGGGTCTGCTTTGGCCTTGCAAACCATGTCACAGGTCAGCAAGTCCTATCTCTGGTGAGAGCTGCACAACTCCAGGGCCCCACGGTGGCTAACGCATGACATTGCTGTCCTGTACCCACAGAGACTCCTGGGGTTGCCAGGATGTTATGTTGCCATTCAAATTTTCTTCAGGAATTAAAAAATTATAATTGGGCTGCTTGGTGTGTCTTCACATGACACACGTGAGTCTGGCCTTCCTAAAAATGTAGTCTGCCCACAGTGTCTGACTGCCACTCTCTGCTGACAGCTGATAAAAGACTGAGATTGCTCCAGCAGTGTCATGGGATTGATTACTCATTGTTTCCATGGTTAACTCACAGTGGCATCCTGCTCAGAGAGGTGGGTGAAGTATTTTCTTCAGGTTTGAAGATCTCTTCTTACCTTTGAGCTTCAGTTATTTTCTTTCCCGTTGTTTCCCCCGTATTTTCCAGACCTTAATTTCTGAGAGGGAGTTAAAGTGAGCAGTTCTGCAGTCACAGCTGTGCTGTCAGGCAGCTCCAGGCTCTGTTCCTCTGCCCACAGAACCCCAGGCCATGCTGGTGGAGCCCTGTCTGGCTCCCTGGAGCTGCTCCACTCCTTATCCTTGGAGTTTTTGTAAATTTGTGCTCCTACTTCTCTGGCCATGCCCTCACTGCTCACCATCAGTGGGGTTCCCACAGCATTCCCACAGCCCTCGCTCCTCCCAGCCACGTGTTGGGACAGCACCGGCAGCAGCAGCCTGGGCAAGGAGCTCACAGCAGTGGTTAATCTTTGTTCTTTACATTTTCTCCTCCTTGGAATTGTGACTGTTCCAGGGGTCAAAGCCTCCAGTTCATCCCAGTTGGGAAACAGTGCAGGTAATCCCAGAGGAGAGACACACCATGTTCATTGTGTGCTGTCTCCCAGCAGGGAGAGGACAGTGCTCACACGAGGAACAGCTCTGGTGCAGCTCTCCTCACCCAGGCTTACACAGCAGAAGACATCTTACCTGCTTGACTTCTGAACTCCTTAAACAGTCTTCAGCTTTTCTAGCCTCAGTTTCTTGTGTCACCTCTACGTTGCAGGTTTGAGGATGCTCTCTCTGACTATCACATGGCCTTCCGTCACCTGAGACAGAACCCCTTCATCGACTACAAGCAGCTGGGGCTGAGGCACATCCTCTATGCCTGGGAGGTAAGAGCCAGCCTGCCTCAGCAATCTTGCCCTTCTGCTGGGGGATTCAGCTGTAGGCATTGGTGACCCAAGAGTTATTTAAGACTGTACCTAAGAACAGTAAAAAATTTCTGCTTACACTTTTTTTTTTTTTTTTAAGTAACTTAATCAAAGAAGTCATAAAACAGTGTCATCTCTAGAGATTTTGGCAAAATTACACAGTTTGGAAAATGAAATTGTTCAGAGCAAGTGCACAAGAATTTGTATACTGAGGTTTTTTATCTTCTCTATACACAGACAAAGTGGTGGCTGCCCCATCCATCCCTGGAAGTGTCCAAGACCAGGCTGGATGGAGTTTGGAGCATTCTGGGCTAGTGGAAGGTGCCCCTGCCCATGGCAGGGGGTGGGAGCTTAAGGTCCCTCCCAACCCAAAGCAGTCTGGATTCTGTGTAATATTTGCAGTCAGTTTGGTGAACTCCTCAACTCTAAGAGCTGAAATAGGTTGAAACATAGACAGATGAGAACAAACTTGTCATAATGCAGAAATCCAGGTGCATCAAAGCCTGACTTTCCAACTGCAGCAACTGATTTTAATATTCCCTCCGTGCCTGGACTTACCCCCTGGGCTGCAGGCTGTTTGCTTCTGTGACACTTCACCCTACAGCTCTTACTGTTACACAGGGTCAACCTGCCCCATCCTGATCCAGAGAGCTCTAAGTCTGATTTGACTGTAAATGTTTGTAACATTTGGAAAGTAAAGGACTCCTAGAAACTGTCCTTTACTGCAAGAGCAGTCCACACACAGAGGTTGAAAAGCAGATACAGGAAAGAGTATTTAACTCCTTACTTCCGTGGGAGTGAGGAGTTATTGTGTAACTCCAGTCAGGCATATCAGCAATTTTCATGCACCTTATACCTGGCAGGAAGAAGCTCTCCTTGGCATCTGTGAGATTACCCAAACCACCCTGGTTTTAACAGTTTCAGTGCCAGCACTGCCTTCTCTGAGCTGACTTAGAGGTGACAGGTTCCCTTTGAAAGGGCCAGGGCTGCAGGAGTGCCCTGAGGCCATCCAGGGCAGGCTTGTGCCCTTCCTGGTGTGAACACACAGTCCCTCACTCCAGGCATCACCAGGACATGTGCTGGTCCACCAGACTCAGGATCAGCATCCTGATTCAGCTCTATCTGACTCCTACATCTACCTGCAGCTCATTTTTCAAACTACACAGACATAATCCTCGAGCAGAGCTGTGCCATCAACTTTCCCTGTGCACGGCCTCTCACAGGCTGCAGCCGCTCTTCTCGTGGGAGATCCACATAAGCTGTGAAAATCCAGAAATATTTGCCTCTTGCGAGGCTGTGACACCTCTGACTGAGTGAGAACTGCTGCCTTGCCTCTCCAAGAGGGAGCACCTCTGCACTTCTTGTGCATGCTCAGGATTGTCGTTCCCCACAGCCTGCTGTGGTGATTAAGGAGTGAAGAACAGCTCTGTCCTGAGCAGGGCTTGCAGCCAGTCCCACAGAGCAGCTCACCAGCTGATAGCCCTGTCACAGAAGATAACCAGCTGTGGCTCCCGAGCCTCTCTTCTGCTGTAGCCCAGCAGGTTTCCCACACACTGATTGCTGGCCAGTGACAGGGAGAGATCTCCCACTCCTAATTCAGCACAAGGCTCCCCAACACCTTGTCTGCAAGACTCCCACACCCTGCACTTCAGCACTGAACAGACTGACGTGCTGCTGAAGGGTAACGAGCAACAATCTGCACAGTCACAGCCCACTACAACATGAAGTAGTGTCAGTTAAGTTATTTTGCAATGACAGGCAGTCAGAATTACAAAAAAATGTCGCCTAGTTGCATGCAGAAAGAAACACAAAAAAGCTTCCTGGCCTTTCAGATGCAGGAAGGATCAGATTTGAATTGTGTGGCACCAGAGTCTTCACCTGGTGCCCCCATGTCTCTCCTCGCCTTGACCAGAGCCAGCAACTCCAGCACACACAAACCTCTATCTTTTTCCACTCTGATTATGATGGTTTTTTTGGCTGTGCTGCTCGGGGTGCCTTTCTTGTTGCTGTATTTGTGGTGATTCAGTGCCTGGTCCCTGTTTCTTGGCTGAGTTCAGTAGGTCACGTTGGGTTTCTCCTGGTCCCAGCCCTCTGAGCCCTCGCTCTGTGCCCACTGCAGGTGCTGTACAGCACTGCAGCAGTGCAGTGCCACCTGCAGCAGTGGCAGGAGGCCACGGTCACCCTCGAGAAGGCTGTCGTGTGGAGACCTGAGAGAAGAACAGCAGTCCTGGACCTGGCCCTCGAGCGGGTGCAGGTAAGACCACCTCTGAGTTCCTGGGTATGTGCTTTGGGCTTCAGCAAAGAACTGGGAGACAGGAGTGTGCTGATCCTTGTGTGTTTGAGTGTTCCTGTGTATCCACCTGCTGACAGAGTCTCAGCCGTTTGCTGGTGATGCTCTGCCAAAGCAGTGCTTCAGCTGATCGAGGAACTCCATCACCCCCAGGTGCTTCGTGGCCCAGAAACACCACAGAGGAGACTTCTGGGGTGACCTCTTAGGCTGTGGAGGTTTTTTTCTGGTTCCTCCTGTTCAGGAGCTCAGTTCTGGTCATACTTGTGCCTTGTGCAGTGTTTTAAGTGCAGGTCCCCTACAAGTGTGGATCTGGAGAGTCTCCCTTTAGGTGACAGGGGCTTTCAGTCCCTTTGGCCTCAAGAACAGCTGCCTCAGGTGGCAGCTCAGATGTTAATGCCAATCTCATTTAGAACTTAAGTAGGTGTGGAAGGGTTTCTAGGGCTGCTCCTAAGTAATAGTTTCCTGTTAGATTCCTTTGTGATCAGGAAACATTTGCAGATCTCTGATTTAACTCTTCCTGCGCAGTTCATTAGTTTACTACCTTCATACTTCCTTATTTGCGTACTTTCCAAGAGATGATCACTTTGTTTTTAATCTAGTCATCTCTTTAGCATCATATTTGTACTTTACAACAGTGTATAATTTACATTTGCTATTGGCATTCTACTCAGTGGCCGAACAGAGAAACCATTTGAAGTAAAGTAGAAAAACTGTCTAGGAAATTGTTTAATAAACCTGCCCCCCTTCCCACCCATCCCATGGGCAGTGTTAGTCCTTGGCTCCACAGCAGGGAGTGGCTGCTGAGCTCTCAGTTTGCACGTGCCTGTTGAGTGCCTTTGGCAAGTTCACAGCTGTAATTTTTGCCCCAGTGTCTTCCTGGAGCTGCCCTTGCACACCTGGGGAAGCTGCATTTGCTTTTCACTGCTCTGATGTTTCATTTAATATCAACTGATGGCTTTTCCCTTATCTGCTTTCCCTGCCCTAGGACCACCTGCTTTTAGAGCCCATGCAGGTTCCTCTTGGGGAACTTTTCAGACCACGGAAGAAGGAAGTTGAAGAGTTGGATTCCAAAGATTTCCTGGGTAAACCCAAGGTAACAGGCACATAATCATTAAGATTAACAGCAGCAGATTAAAATCCCACCTCTGGCAACTCCAGAGAGCAGTGCTAAGGGCCACTGTGCTGGGGGTGACCCAGGAGCAGGGTGGTCACTGCTTGCAGCCAGTCCAGGCATCTGGGACACAGAAGCCAAAATTTGTTAGGATTGCCACCTGCTCTGTCAAAAATGCACTTTGGGACTAAAAACCCTTCCCAGTCTTGGCCACTTTAAAGTCTGAAAGCAGGTACTCAGGGAACTTGTGGTTCCCCTCTTTTTCGAAGAGGAGCACGTTCCAGCTCAGTCTACATTCCCAGTGCGACCGGTGGGCACTTGGGAGATAAATGCTTTGCACATCCCTTAACACAAGCCAGCTGAGAATTTCTCTGATCTCTTCTGTGACCAGTGCAGTCAGCAGAAGTGTCACAGGCCAAAGAGCTCTAACAGGAATAAAGGAAAGGGAAAGTAATTCCTTCCATGTACTCTTAAAGAAAGCTTAGAAAGACTTAAAAAAACGGGGTCTGTTGTGGGAATCCAGCTCTGCCTTTTCCACCGTGTACATTGCTCTGTTAACCTTAGGATGGAAGGAAATGAGTCTGAGTAGGTGATCTTGGATGATGTTTGGGAGTCTCTTCATCCAGCCTGGATTCACTCCTTACCTTGTCCTCCAACAGGTGATCTCGTCCATCATTCCCAATGATGAGTACATCGGCTTTGAGCCTCTCAGGCCTCAGGTGAGCAGTACACAGCTGTGAAAGGAAGAGCAGAGCTGTCCTGGAGCTCCAGGCAGGGGCTCAGTTCCTAACACAGCAGGGCAGGAGTGGACTGTTGGAGGAACCAGTGCACTGTCAGCCTGACTCCACGGGGATGTTCACAGCCAGGCTCAGCACTGGCTGGAAGGGACTCGGTGATGGGAGTCTCCAGCCCCTTGAAAATGCATTTTTGACCCTTCACCAGCAGTGGAGACTTTGCTGTGCTCAACATGCCTTCACCCAGCCCTTCAGTAAATCTGTGAGCATGAGCATGGCTGCTTTGCACTGTAATTGGAGTTCCTGAACCAGGGGAAGGGGAAGAGGGTTTGTTACTTGCCTCCTGATGAGGTAAAGAGGGAGGGGAAGAAACAGAAGGTACATCCTGCTAAGGTGTGGAGCAGCAGACTTCTGTCTGGGTGGTGTGGAGTGACAAAAGGGGTCAAGAGTAAAGACAAAACACCTCAGTGTGGTGTTCAGAGGGGCGGGGGATGAGGTGGCACTGCTGCTGCATGAGGCACTGTTATAAACACGTGCTGTTGTTTCTCCCACAGAAACAGGGCTTTTATGAACCCAGTGCTGATGCTCTGCGGTGAGTGTTGTCCACCTTGGTCTAACTCTCCCCTCGCTTTTTCTGTTCAGAAAGTCATGCTTTGGTCTCTTGTGTCTTTGGGTGGAGACTGAGGGATCCACACAAGGGTGGGGTGAATGACAAGCTTGTGTGGATGCAAAGGACACTGTGGGTCCCTGGAATCTCTCATGCAAGAGTCTCTGGGCAGTTTGCAGGAGTTGATTCAGCAGCCTTGGGAGACAGGCATGGATCATGCTATGGCTGAGCAATGAAAGAGAGAGGTTGTGGGACCTGCCCAGGTCTGTGACAGAGGATGCTCAGCTGTCCCATCCTGGTTCCCAGGACAAGGCTTCCAAATACTCCCAGCCCTGCTGTGCTGAGCCAAAATCAGGTTCAAAACCCATGAAAGCAATTTGTTTTGGTGATATTGCACCAGCAGTACTTCAGTTCCGAGTTTAATAATTGTTTTGATCTGGAGAATGTTTATCAGTACAATGAAAATGCAGCTGCATTTGGGAAATCAGTGCTTTCCAAGCTCCTTCGGTTCACAGTTGGAACAAAGTGTAGCAATGGAAATCATGAATTCCCAACACCTGACGCACGGCAGTTGGGGTTGGTGCAGTGCTCTGGATCAAAGCCATCAGCACCAGCACTCTGGGGTTGGTAAAGGTGCTCTCCCTCGTTCTCCACAGGGACAGTGAGGCAGGATACCACCGAGTCTTGTCCCAGTACTGCCCCGAGCAGGCGCAGGAGCCGGTGGTGAAGGGCGGCAGTTTGGTGTTCGTGCTGAGCAGGGGAGCAGATGGCTGGGCCACAGCCATCCACGATGGACAGGTGAGCAGAACAGGGGGCTGCACAGCCCAGCCCCCGGCAGAGCCCACAGCCCTCGGGGTCACCTGCAGCCCTGCAGGGCAGGGGTGAGTTCAGGAGCTCATTTCCACACAGTGGAGGTTTCCTGACACTTGGCTCCCACCAGCCTGTGCCATTCACCTCTGCACTTCCATATGGGCATCCCTTGGGCTCTCCATCATCCAGGATCCTACTGCTGAATCGTGTGGGACACCAGACCTCACCAAGGACCACCAACTAGAGCAGTTTCTGTCACCTGAGAGCTCTAAGGGAGCTGAGGAGATGGGTCGGTCCTTACCCTGATGCCTCTGTTAAATTAACTTTGGGAAGGTTTGGGGAGGGTTTCAGCTGTGCAGGCGGGTTTTATAAAGGGCTCTAGAGAAGAACTAAGGAATTAAAGCCCAGCAAATCTGACATTTTCCTACAGACTGGGGAACTGTAGTGTAAACAGACTGAATAGAAACAGATAAATACAACAACATGGAAAATCTTCTGTTGGCAGAAGCCATTTCTCACATGTCTGCTTCAGTTCTTTGAAGAGCCATTGCATCCCTGGACTAGGTTCAGCCAGTGAATGTATTACCTGCCTACCTTTCCAAAACAGTCAAAAGATTCTTCACAAGACTACTGTAAAGTGAGGTGTCTGAGCAAGGGACGCAGCATTCTGAGGGCTGGTAACAGGTTAAATACAGAATAAATAGTGGCTATAAATAAACAGGTTGATTTTTTTTCCCCAAGTAATTATGTACCCACAGTGAATCTGCTGTGACATAAACATTTAGCAAATTCCTAAGTGATACAGTAACAGGGGTAGTAATATCGTGCTTCTTAAGCTGGCCATGTTCCATGACAGACAATCAATCCATTCAACAGAGCCTTGGGCATCTGCAGCTAAAAGTCACACAACTATTTGGATGTGCTGGTTCACCATTCAGCGAAGTGTCAGGTGAAATTCAAAGTCAAAAAAAAAAGTAAAATAATAGACTCTGGACCAAAAAAAAAAAAAAAAAGGCATTTTAAGCAAAAAATGACTCATAATGATCAATTGAAATTAATAGCAGTGATTGCCAGAAGACACAGAAATGCTGCTGGACTGGTATCCCTGGGCATCCTTGCTGCTCTCTGCCTGAGCATCTGTCCTGGGAGCAGGGGCTGTGTCTTGGTGAGTGTCTGATGTGTTGCAGCCACTCCATCAGCAGTGCTGCTTCCAGCAGGGAAAGCTGCAAAAGGACCCTTGGATTTTGTTCAGCAGTGTCTGAGCATGAGGCACAGGGGGCTGTGTGTGCCCCCAGGACATTTGGGGGGCTGTAGGGGCACAGGCAGTGACAGGGGCTGGGGGGATTTGGGGCTGGGGCTGCCACAGCAGCAGCTCCTGTTTCACCCTGCTCTGCTCTGTGTCCCACAGAAGCTGCACATCCCAAGCTCTCTGCTGGAGCCTGTCTCAAGGATGGATAAATGGGTGAGCTGGCAACCTTGCAATAGGGGTGAGGGAGGGACCAAGAGATACATTTGGGACATTTATTTGTAAAATAATCACAGGATAGGACAACTGTGTAAGAGAAAGGTAGGGTGTGAAACACTGAGACCCTTGACTGAAGACCAAGTTTTCTTAAAAGGAAAAACAGCCTGGTCTAGCTGTTGTTCTCCCTTCCCTGCCATGGGCTGAGGAGCACAAAAGGAGCTGCCCCAGCTCTCTTGCCCCACTGTAATTTGTTCAGCCACTGGAACAGGCTGAGGAATTTGAGGGCCTGAGGCACAGGTTTATCCAGCCTGCTCCCAAGATGGATACAGCCCCAGAGGTAGCAGGGATGAGGGTGGTGAGTGTTCACATTTTCCAGTTCACCAGCACAGTGAGAGCAGGTGAATCTCCTGCAGTGGGACAGGAATGCCTTAAGCAGGCCCTGCATTCTGCCCTGAGATCATGTGCCTGACCTTCGACTTGGGAAAACTTCATCTCCCATCTCCACCACAGGCACATCCACACATCATCCCAATCATTTTCCGTCTGAACCCAGGGTGGGAAGGTGCAATTCAGACCCCTGTTTCCTGTGAGGGATTTTTGAAGCACATGGTTGTTCAGATGTTGATATGGGTTTTTTTTTACTATTATTTTTTCCCCTCCAAATAAATCCCTGACCACAGCACACACTTGGGCATTTGCTGCATGGATGACTCGCTGTAAACCAGCCTAATCTGGGAAGAACCCTCAGCACAGTGTGAGCAGCCTCCCTGTGCTCCAGCACCCACCCAGGCAGGGCCAGGGGGCCAAGGAAGTGTCCCACAAACCTCTCCTCACTGCCCACAAGAGCCTGAGTGATCCCCATCATCCAGCTGTTCAGTGGACTGGTCTCCCTGGGGTTACACCCACAAACTGTACCTGGCTGCAGCCATCACACACCAGCCTCGTCCCGGCTCCAGTGTCTTCTCACTCCTTTCTGATGTTGTTCTGTTGCAGAAGATCAGCAGTGGGATCCCCCTTCCTCCTGCCCAGGTGCCTCCCAACCGCCTGCATGTGAAGCAGAAGCCAGGTAGTCCCTGGGCCACCTCAGTGGGTGAAGCTGTGCCCAAACCCACTCTTCTGGGGGTCGCGGGGAGCCTGGGGGCCCACTGTGTGTGTGCTGGAGCTTCCAGCAGCCTCTGCTGACTGCAGGGCTGTTCCTCTGCTCTTGTTCTGTTCTGCAGAGCCTCCTGGGGGAGAAAATGCCTTTGCCAGTGATGCCAGTGCCCAGATGGACTCCAAGGTGAGTTGTTCCACCAGCTGAAGCTGGTACAGCCTCAAGACATTAGGGCTGTGAAAAGGGCAAGATTCCTGCCCAGATCCTCCAAAATTCCTGAGGTACTCCAAAATCATGGAAAAAAATCTCCTTCCTCTGACCTCTTTTTCATTCTAAAGAGAGGCTCCCATGTGGTCTTTGCTCCTTCACTCCCAAGTTTGTGACCATCCTACTTTGTGAGACAGTCCAGGGTTGAGGTTCACAAGGCACTGACCTGTTGCCACCCTCCAAGGTGCCAAGAGCCCCTGACACATCACTGTTGTCATACACACTCTTTACAGCCCACGTTGCAAGGGAGAGCTGTCTTTGAACTCCCTGCTGTCTCTTCCCCCTTGTCCCGTGTGCCATTCTCTGTCCCTGTCAGTCTGGGTACCACAGTTCATTCATATTTGCATTCTGGGATGATGTTTTCTGAGGCACCTCCGTGTCATTGCCAACCTCTGTGTGTGATGGCCCTGGAATTGCTCCTGTGTCCACCTGTGTCCAGCCTCTGTCCCCCAGCTGCAGGTCAGCTCTGCCACCCCTCTTTGCAGGGCATTTGGAGTAGCTTTTGTCAGGTGTACCTCAGCCAGAAGGCAGCACAGCGTGGGAACGTGGCTGCTTCCCTCCAGCTGGCTGGAGGAATTGGGATCCTACTCACATAATTTTTGGGTTGGGAGATACCTGCACAAATCAGGCCCAGAAACAAGTTTCCTGAGTCGTGGGGGGAACGTTTGATTCGGGGCTTTGAATCCATAGTTCCCCCTCTGAAATTCAGGTCTGCATTTTGATGATGCTCTACCGTGACGCGGCAGCACAGAGAGGAGAGGTTATGTCTGTGCCACCTCTCTTGGATACGAGAGCCAGCATAGTCAGTTGAGGTTCTTCTTAGTCCATGAACTTCATAGTCAGTCCAGGCTCTTCCAGAGGGTGGTTGGCACTGAACAGGCTCCCCAGGGCAGTGGGCACAGCCCCAAGGCTGCCAGAGCTCCAGGAGGGTTTGGACCACGCTCCGAGGGACAGGGCGGGATGGTTGGGGTGTCTGTGCGGGGCCAGGGGTTGGACTTGGACGATCCTTTTGAATCCCTGTCCCAGCAGGTCCCCGGGAGCCGCGGAGAGGCCCGGCCGGTGGTGCTGCGGGCGCGCTGCGAGTGCACTGTGGTGCTGCGGGCGGGCGAGCTGCCGGCCCTGCCCGGCCTGCGGGCGCTGCTGCGGGAGCGCTTCGGGCAGCAGGCACAGCGGGGCACTCTGAGGTACAGAGGGGGTGTGTGTGTGTGTGTGAGAGAGAGATGGGACAGCAGCCACCCGTCCCCCTGAGCACACAGCCACACTGCATGTGGCTGTGTGCTCAGGGGGACGGATGGCTGCTGGGGCAGGGGGTGGGAATGGCCTTAAGATGAAGGACTGTGACTGTGATCCATGAGCTTTGTACACCCAAAAGGTATACAAATGTGTTTTCTTTTTCCCAGACAACAGTACATGTTAAGAGAAAGGGAGAACAGAAGGAAAAAACTCTGTGTGCATGCAGCTGCTGTATATCAGATTTTCTCCTGCTCGGCTCAGCCTTTGCGGGAACTTGGAACAGTGCAGAGCAATTTGGGAGTCAGGTCCTGGAGTGAGATCTCCCTGTCTGTGACACCCCTGGGACACAGTCAGTGGAGCCAGGAGAGTTTAGGATCTTGCCCTCAAGTCCATGTGTGAGGAGGTGACAGTGTCACTCCCCACAGTGCCATTTCTGCTGAGCATGTGGGGTGGCCCTGTGTCGCTGTGCAGGGTGATAAGCTCAGAGCTGGCCTGCAAGGGGGACTGTGAAGGCTGAGGGTGGCAGAGGGCTGGGCTTTTCTCAAAGTTTGGATTTAATTGAGATGATTTGTGCTGCATTAAAAAACCCTTGCAGCTACAGGCACCCGGATGGCACTGAGCTGGGCACAGTCTCGGGAGAGGAGGATCTGGGGAGGATGTGGCAGCAGCTGACAGATGGCAGGGTGACACTCTGCTGCCAGGTACAGGAGCTGTGACAAGTGTCTGTGCTGAGCTGGGCTGCAGTCTCTGCTTTGCCTTGCAAGCTCCATGGCTTTTCCTGCAGGACTCGGACTCCCACTCGGGCAGACCTGTCCTGTACCAGATGCTGGCTCAACACTCTTACCTGGCACAGGGACCAGGAGACCTGGAGTTCAGCAAGGGAGATGTGCTGGATATCGTCTCTGAAGGTAGCTCTCCAGTCCTGCTGCAGGTTGTGCTGGGACAGGCTTTTGGAGTCTGCTGTGGGGAGGGACTGGGAATGCAGGGCCTGTCCCGTGCTGCCTCAGGTCCATACTCTCAGGAATGACAGGCTTGCACTGGGCTTTGTCCAGAGTTAAATTCCAGCCATGAAAACTCTCACTAACCCACTCATAAGGTCCAGGATTCATCCTGCTCCTCTGTGTTTTCTCAGTGAACGAGGACTGGCTGGAAGGATGCTGCAATGGCAAGACTGGCATCTTCCCCAAGTGCTTTGCCACCCAGACCGGCTGTGGTGCTGCTTTCCTGTAGCAAACAGGAGCCTTTTCCTGCCCGACTGCACTCCCAGGAATGGGAAACACCGATCCCAGCTCACTCAGGCCCCGGCCAGCCCAGCCAGGAGCTCTGCTGAACCTGGACAGGGGATATCTCCTGCTCACAGAGCCCACGGGGGCAGTTCCAGCAGTCTGACAGCATTTCCCACAGCCTGTCCCCAGACCTTGTGCTTACACTGCCAAAGATGTGTCTGTGCAGAGCAGAGAGAGGGGTCTGGTATTTGGCTGTGGGAATTGTCCATGTGGCAGCCCAGACCTCTGGATTGGGAAGATGTTCCTCTGGGTGGGAAGAGGTTCCTCTGGGTGAAGGTCTTCATCCCCTCTCCCTTGTTGCTCACATTCAGGCTGGGAAGGCTGAGCCTCACTGTAACAAAGCCAAGGATGGCTGCCTGGGAGCAGGAGGCAGAGCCCTCAGGTCACGTAACCTTATCTCCACCAGCAGAGATGCAGCAGAGATGCTGCTCCTTCAGAAGGCTTTTGGGACCAGTTTGCAGTGGGGTTAATGGGATACCACCATGGGTTAGGATCACCATGCTTCCACAGCAAATACCTTATGATGTGACCATTCTTCAGCCCAGGTGCCTTTGGTTCTTTTTTCAAGCCCCAAGTCCAAGGTGAGGCATTGCAGCATAGAGGAGAGGGAACTGCAGAGACCTGCCCTGCTCAGAGCAGCTCCAGGCTGTGGGAGAGCCCTGGAGGCGCTGGGGAGAGGGCTGGGAAGTGCAGCCCTGGACTGGTGCTGCAGGGACTGAAAGTGCTGCCAAGTTCCTGCAGATGAGCTGGGCTGGGCTTTACTGATCTAAATAAAACACTCAAGTGTCTGGAGCTGGAACCCATTCTGGATTTGGAGTCTGACAAAGCTGGGCTATGCAACTTGAATATAAAATAAACCCTAAGCCAGAGTTGGCAACTCTTAAATCAACTTCCACTTGTGATTTTCTGCTGAGATATGCCAGTAAATATTTTTAAAGACAGCTGACAGTGTCTTTGGAGATGATCATCTGTCACATACTACAAAAATATTGCACATCTTGCACAGGGCAGGATACAGATGATGTCATCCCTCTCCTCAGAGTTAGATGCCCACCATGGCTCTCCATCTCTTGCCTCCCAGGGCTGTTGGGAGAGCAGCCCAGCACAACTGGCAGTGCCAAGGAAACTGTGCTAGGCCGGGCAGTAACATTCGTATTTAAAAACAAAACGGATTTTATTTCTAGTTTGAATTTATCTGGCTTCATCCAGCCACCAAGTCTCAGTCAGCTTTTGGCAGTCAGATTAAAGGAGTCTTTTCCTCTTGGAGGTTCAGAGAGATCAAGACAACTTTGTAATCTTAGACATTCACAGAGATGACCCAGTCAGGTCTCCTGAGCAATGGAGATGGGTCTAATGCCCTCATTCTTCTCCCCCTTCCACCTCTTCTGCACCACTTCCTTGCCTGGGTTAGTGGGCAGGATGCCTGGAGTCAGGAGGCTGGGAGCTACTTGGTTTTCCAGAAACACAGGAGGAGAACAGCCACCAGGCCTGTCACAAGGGCCAGCACGATGAAGGAGACAGCCCCTGCCCACAGCCCGGGCTGGTGGCCCTTGACGAGTTCCAGAGGCTCCGCGGGGATCATGTTGGTGAAGTTCAGCATGAAGCCCAGTGTCCACCCGATGTCCGTGTTTGCTGCCTGCAGGGACAGAGCAGAGGGGACCACCCTAAAGCACCTGTTCCAGGCACCAGTAGCATCGGTGCAGGATGACAGGCATCTCTCCCAGGGGCTGCCCCAGCTGCTGTTTCATGGGTGCATCTCCCCATGGTGAACCTGGTCCTGCCAGCAGCTTCCCTGTCCCCCTTCCCCAGTGCAAGGGACAGCTGAACACAGATGATGGCTCTGATCCAGGTGTGCCTCTGTGACCTGCACTTGATATTGGATCTGAGCTATCCTCCCTCCCCATCATCCTCCTGATCTGGCCATAGTATTGTTAAGGTTGGAAAAGACCTTTCAGGTCGTTGAGTGCAACCATCCAACCATCGACCCAGCACCACCACCACGTTCACCACTAAGCCATGACCCCAAGAGCTACATCACAAGTTTTTTTAACACTTCCAGGGATGGTGACTCCACCACTGCCCTGGGCAGCTGTGCCAGTGCCTGACCACCCTTTCTGAGAAAAAGATATTCCCAGTATCTAACATAAGCCTTCCCTGGCACAACCTGAGGCTGTTTTCTCTCATCCTGGAAATATCGTGGCCTGGCCATACTCTGTTCAAATGGGTCATGGGGCCACCATCACCTCTGTGATAACATCAGAGACCAAAGTGGGCAAATCCTGCCCTGCACTTCCCTGACCCCCTTACAATCAGTTAAGTTCACACCAGAGCAAGTGAGAAAGGAGCAGGGTCAGAGATTTGGGAGCAGTAAGAAGGAATGGAGCTCTGCTGGGATCGCTGGGGAGCAGCCACGAAACAGGGACACATTTCTGGTGCAGGAGACTCCAGAGAGGCTGCTCTTGGACATGCCCAGGGCAAGGCTGAGGCTGCAGCTGCCCACAGGTGTGTTTACCTGCCGGCTGAAGTGGATGTTGCTCCAGGTGTGCTCACTGAACTTGAAGCCATCGAGCAGCAGCGTCAGGATGTAAATGCCCACGGAGCAGTAGGTGTGCAGGTACTTCTTGGCCTCTGGAAAGGTCTGCTCCAACTGTGGGGCCACAGGGCAACAGGGAATGAAACACGTGCTCAGAAACCCTCCCCAGCCCTGGGAACAGCAGGACATGTGTTCCCCAGGCACAGATTTGGGACAGGACAAGCACAGGGCTCCTGGCTGCCCTGCACAGGGCTCTCACCTCTGACCAGTTCCTCTTGCAGAAGGCCAGGATTGTAGCGTTGACATCATTCAGAGACTTCTGGGTGGTCAGGTTCAGGAAGTTGAAGGTGTAGTAGAACCCAGCGAAGGCCTGGGGGGTAAGGGGAGCTGGTAAGAACCACATCTCCTTCCTCAACTGAAAAAAGACCCAGAGGCCCTCTTGCCTAGGAACAGAGTTCCATGTAACTCCCAGGGTTCTGCATCCAGCACCAACTTGATGGTCTACCAAAAAGTCTTGGAGCTGGCTGACAAGACCTGCAGCTGCTGCTTGCACTCTGAGCTAGCTCAGACTTGTTCCCTCAGACGAGGCCTTCCCACTGCCCTCAGGAGGCAAAATCCACCTCCTGGTATAGGAGCAGAGGTTTGCAGAAGGGACCAGTTCTGGGGTCTGCCCTCTCCCCAGCCATTCACACAACCAGGGGCAGAGGAGGCTCCCACCCTCACTGTTC